TTGATCAAACTTAGACTTTATTACAATGAAATTTATTTCTGGGCTGCCTCATACTGTTGATTTTATCAACCATACAGGTCAACACATTCCATCTTTGGCGACCAAGATTTCCTTGTTGGTTTCACTGAGGAGAGAATTGTGACATGACATAGTATTGATTCAGTCATTCAACTCAGATGGTATTTATAGTAACAAATAAAACAAAGTAAGTCATTTTTTCTGGACAATTAGAAGACAAAATGTGTCTAAGGTGAAAACTTGTGTTAAGGAAAGACAAGAATTCATACTTTCTACTATATTCTCTAAAGAATAATAACATTCAATGGTTGATTTGCACTTTTTACTGTATTTTTAAAGAGAAAACTGGAGACATCCTTTTGTATAAACGGTTTTCAATGTTACATTCGGTGACTAGCAGGTCGGGACAAAAGTATTTTTGTATTTTCCAAAGAATCAGCTTAGGTGACTTAAGATTATTATGTGAATTGTGAGTGTAGAGCAGCTAAGTGTACTCACCGCATCTCCTTGCAGAGGAGACACTCATTGCCATAACTCTGTCCATTGCTTCCACACACAGGGATCACATTGAATGTACATGCAAAGATCTTTGGATCAGGACATGTAGCCTCGTAGACGTATAAAAACCAAACATTACATAAAATTCTGCTCAAACATAAGTTTTATTCATTCAGGAAAAAAATATTTGATTCTAAAATTCATATCACCTTTCTTGATCCAGCCTTGCTTACAGCAACTTTAGAAAAAACAAAGCAAGTTCATTTTTATAATCCAAATTACATTCACCATGTTGACTTCACAGTTGAAATAACCAGCTTTAGATGACTGCTTTCAGCCATTACTATCAGTATGAATCAAGCTGTAAGGTGTCTATTATGCATTCAAAAATGAATCTAGATAATTTAATATGTGTAGTATTATTATAAGACTTCACCATAATGCAGTGAACAGCATTAACAATTTAAAATATTCTTTGTAAAATGAAATGAAAAAACTACTTTGAAAAATACTTTCAGAGCAAATTAAACAAGAAATGTAAATAAGATTTTTTTTACCTGCTGCAACATAGATGATCAGAAGCCCCAGCAAAAGTCTTCCAGTCATGGTGTTCGTTGGTGAATAACTGAGTGGACAGATCGGTGGGTGTATATATACAGGTCTACTGTCAGTCACCGCCTCTCATTATATGTAGCTGTTTGCTAGGAGTGAGTGACACAGGGACTCACTGATCCACACCTCCAGGTTGTACAGCAGGGACGCCAGAACGTAATTTGGTCTGGATGATGACAAAAAAGTTAAGGTCATACATGTAGAAGTAATAGCAGAGGGGAGAACAGCAGATGCTAGAGAACTCAACCAAGAAACTCATGGGGCGATGAAGTAGGAGTTTGCCCTGTAATTGCTGGGTTGCCGGTTTGAGCATCTCTTCTGTCCAGTAGAATCCAGTGGATTGCTACCATCAGTGTGTGAATGTAGTGTGAAGTGCTATGGGGTCCTCTTGGCTTGATAAAGCACCAATCAACCACAGGCCATTTACCAATGACCAAAACGTTAAGTACCTTGGAATACCATAAACAAATGGCAACCACAAAGAGACCTCAAGGAAGGCAGCAACAGACGAGACAAGGAGCTGCACCGAGTAAGGCAAATCCTGAGAAGCCAGCTAAATGGCAACAGCAAGAGCAAGAGCCGGGTAACTGATATGCCTTGCCGGTGATAAGTTGCCCAAAGAATGAGATTTAGACCTGTGATGTTAAACATGAATGGTACTCAGCACTGCACCCCAAATCCAGTATCTACAGGTTATCCACTAACAGCACAGGAGGGAAAAGAACGCAAAACCCATTGTGAGGTAATGCAAAAGTATTGCTAGACAATGCAATGCTTTGCGAGGTTGCAGAAAATTAAAAAATCCCTTATGTCCAATAGAGAGATACCAAATTTGACTTAAGAGAAATTTGACTTCTTTGTCTTGAAATTTGGGCTTCTGACTCTTTAAAAACTCCTGCTCTTTCTGAAACCCCGCCTTCAGGAAGTCATGGCAACGTTGCTCCCCTATCAATCCTTTTAACAAAATATTTCACAGTGTTTCTCTAGCAGGTAGCTCTTATAATGAGCTCAGTAGATGCACACTTCCACCAGGTGTTTGCTAATTGAATCTTCTGAAGGAGCTGAGTGGAGGAGTGGTGGTGGAGGTTTGCTCTAAGAGGAGGAAGCTCAGCTTGAAGTTTCTGATTATATTTTAACATGAATGTTAGAATGTTTCAGAAGTGGCGCTCGGTTCACCCAGGCGTTTTGCACAGCTGAGTGGTTTCCACGCAGGACTAAAGGATTTCTCTGACTAGTAAGAAAGAATCAAGGCAAAACTCCAGGTATGTTTTTGATGAGGGAAAAACATCCTAACATGATGTAAAGCTCAAAAAGGTTGATTTGAGATAACAATACTGCATCTTAAATATTCATTTTAAAATGTATCATTTCCACTGGCAGTTTTTTGTAAAAAAAAAAAAAAAAAAAGTCTTATGATTTAGAAAGAAATCTGCCAGTGGAACTTGTACTTTATCAATATTAAGACATTATTGACTTAAAACTAGCTCCTACATCTTGGAGAGAAGTTGCTTGTAACATCGTTTTGTCAAGTGTAGTAAGATATTTGCACTATAACTACACAAAAATACTTGGTAAGACTTTTGTTTTTTCAGTGTGGTGAACCTAATATGCATCACAAATTGATGCATAATATTGAGAAAAACAACCAGAAGGTCACAGTTTGATCAAACTTAGACTTTATTACAATGAGACAACAGTGGATATCATTTTTTGGGCTGCCTCATACTGTTGATTTTATCAACCATACAGGTTAGCAGTGTCCCTCTTTGACGACATAAATTCTCCTCTTGGTTTCACTGAGGAGAGAATTGTGACATGACATAGCAGTGATTCAGTCATTCAGCAAATATTTATTTATAGCAACAAATAAAACAAAGTAAGTAATTTTTTCTGGACAATTAGAAGTCAAAATGTGTCTAACGTGAAAACTTGTGTCAAGGAAAGATAGGAAGTTGTACTTTCTACTATATTCTCTAAAGAATAAAAACATTCAATGGTTGATATGAATTTTTTTGCTGCATTTTTATAGAGGAAAAACTGGAGACATCCTTTAGTATAAACAGCTTTCAATTTTGTCACATTCGGTGACTAGCAGGTTGGGACAACAGTACTTTTCTGTTTTCCAAAGAATCAGCTTAGGTGACTTTAAATTAATATGTGAATCATTGAGTGTCTAGGAGCTGTGTGTACTCACTACATCTCCTTGCAGAGGAGACACTTATTGGCATAAGTGACTCCATCAGTGCCGCACACAGGGCGCATAATCTTTGTGCATCCGTAGATCTTTGTAGGACATATGACCTGTGAAAAACGTAACATTACATAAAATTCTTCTGAATCAGTTAATTTTATTCATATATTTAATTCAACTTTCATTTTACCTTATGGTATCGCTGAGGATACATGGCTGCAGCATCTTAAAAAAAAAGAAAGCAAGTGTCTTTTTAATGCAACTTACTTTTACCAATGTTGACTTCAAAGTTGATATAACCGGCTATAGATGACTACTTTTAGCTCTGATTATCAGTACGAATCGAGCAGTAAGGCATCTGTTATGCATTCAAAAAAGAATGTTGACAATTTTGGAGGTATGTTTTTTTTTTCATAATCAGCATGCATAGTTAAAATATCCTTTGTAAAAAAAAAATAAAAGAATAAAATTAAATCTAAAAAAGTACCTTGAAAAAATGCCTTCAAAACAAACAAGAAAATACTTAATTTTTTACCTGCTGCAATACAGATGATCAGAAGCCCCAGCACAATAAGTCTTCCGTTCATGATTTTTGTTCATGAATAACTCCGAATAAGCAGATATGCGGGTATATTTATACAGGTCTCCTATCAGTCACCGCCTCTCATTATATGTAGCTGTTTACTAGGAGTGAGCGACACAAGGACTCACTGATCCACAACGAAAGGATTTTTTTTAGCAAGACATCAGACTGTTATTCGGACTGGAGGGAAGGTAATACATGTACACTCTAAAAAGTGTATTTGGGCTGTAGTTCATTTTATGGACTTTTTTTTTTTTTACATTAATCTCACTTGATTTGTTTGGTTAGTGATAACAACTTGCTTTTTGATGTTGAATTAACTTAAAAGTTGCACATTTTAACTTAAAGAAACTTTTGATTGCGACTGCAACGGCCGCAACCGTTGCAATCGCGTGTGGCAAAGGGATTACATGACCTTTGCCACATGTAATCCCCTTCTTCCGTTACCCACTTTCCTGCCCAACTACTCTTAAATAAAGGCCACCACAGCAGATAAATAAAAAGAGCCTTTCTTAGTTTACTTCTTCATTTGAAGTAAACTACATGACTTGACTACGGACACGCAGCGGGACGCGCCGACCCCTCACCTAGCAGATAGAGCTGAGATTACGTTCAAGCCTCAGGGGAATCAACACCAAAAAACAAACATTTCCCACACACAAAAAAAGTATGCAAAAACACCAGTTGTCAGACTTGCTGTCCATATTATGATTATTAATACATTTTCGCCTGAACACAGTGGCGGTTGATTAGCTGATTTAAACACCTGCTCTACGGCTTGCCCTGTTTTAGTGCTAACAGCACATGTTGCCAAAGTCAATGGCAGGGTAGCAACAGTTAGGCTAGCATAACTAACTCACTGCTCACTTTTTCAATATTTTCTTTAAATTAAAACTTTAAAGAAAATAAAACCTGTTAAATGTGAAACCCTTGGACCTTGTTGTCTATGGCTGTCATAGGGTTGAATTAACCGCTAAACATTTTGTCCGTTTTTCAGATTCTTTGCGTGATTGTGGTACTTTCCTGACCACCGATATTCCTGACTCAATGGACAGCAATGGCGCATGTCTGGCGCACGATAAGTCACGTAATGTCTAATCCTGTAATATATATTATATCTACCCATATATACCAATGCTGCTGCCTCGTGCTCTGTCCTCTCGCACTTGCAGCTGCTTAGCAGTAGGTGTCAGATTGCACTGTGTTGCATTCAATGTCGGGAAAAAATATATTCATGTTCTTAATGTCAGTTTTGCCATCACTATTTCTTGAATTCATAGTCGCCAGCTGGAGTGGCAACAGGGGTTGGCAAGGCTCTCAGTTGAGGTGGCAACTGCCACCCCCAGTAGATCTGCCCCTGTTTGAAAGAGAGCAGAAGCTTTGAGCACAAGCACTACAAGTTTTGAGAAGAAAGACATGAAGTCCTGCTTTCAATCTGAAAATGTTAGCACAGATATAAGTTTTGAGAACAACACTTTTCAGACTGAAAATGTGTGAAAATTTCCCCCATAGTACAGTTGAATGGTTACCACGGTACATTAAAGGATTCCTCAAACATCCATGTAAGAATCAAAGCAACATGCCAGGTATGTTTTTGATGAGGGAATAACATTCTAACATGATGTAAAGCTCAAAAAAGTAGATTTCATATAATAATGCTGCACTGTTAATAATTTTAAAAAGTACTAGTTCCACTGGCAGTTTCTTTCACTTAAAACATGGAAAAAATGTTTAATGTGTTAAAAAAAATCTGCCCATGGAATATGAAGAAATCATTTACAAGCTCCTATATCTTGGAGAGAAGTTGCATGTTACTTAGTTTTGTCTTATTTCAAATGTACTATGATATTTGCACTGTAATACAAACAAATACTTGGTAAGATTTTTGTTTCTTCAGGGTTGTGAACCTAATATGCATCACAAATTGATGCACATTATTGAGAAAATCAACCAGAAGGTCACAGGTTGATGAAACTTAATTTTATTTCAATGAGACAACAGTGGATATCATTTTCTGGGCTGCCTCATAGTGTTGACTTTATCAACCACAGGTCAGCAGCGTCCCTGTTTGGTGATCCAGATGTCCCTTTTGGTTTCACTGAGGAGAGAATTGTGACATGACGTAGCAGTGATTCAGTCATTCAGCTCAAATGGTATTTATAGCAACAATAAAAACAAAATAGGTCATTTTTCTGGGCAATTAGAAGACAAAATGTGTCTGAGTTGAAAACTTGTGTCAAGAAAAGACAGGAATTCCTTTTAAAATAACAACAACAAAGCACTCCATGTTTGATTTACATCTACATATACTACCAGGTTCTGACTAAAGCACAATCTTTTCCAAAGAATCAGCTTGGGTGACTTAAAATTAACATGTGAACTGTGAGTGTGGAGCAGCTGTGTGTACTTACTGCATCTCACTGCAAAGGAGACACTCATTGTCATAAGTGACTCCATTGCTGCCGCACACAGGGTCCAAAATCTTTGTGCATCTCCCAATATTTCCATCAGGACAAGCAGGCTGTCGGACATATGAAAGACCAACATTATGTTAAATTATGCTTAAACTTAGTAAGTTTTATTCATACAGGAATGAATGTTTAATTCTAAAATTCATATCACCTTTCTTGTGGATCCAGACATGTTTGTAGCATCTTTAGAAAAAGAAAAAAGACAGTCTTTTTTCAAAATCCAACTTACATTTAACCATGTTGACTTCAGAGTTGAAATAACCAGCTTTAGATGACTACTTTCAGCCATTAGTATCAGTATGAATCAAGCTGTAAGGTGTCTATTATGCATTCAAAGGAGAATTTAGATAATTTAATGTATATTTTTATCATAAGATGTCACCATAAAGCAGTGATTAGCATAAACAGTTAAAAATCTCCTTCACAAAAAATAAATAAAAACTCATTTGAAAAACTGCCTTCAGAACAAATTAACCTGTTATTCACGAGAGGACCCAAATTTGGGTCCTCTCGTGACAGATGTGTCAAACTCCAGTCCTTCAGGGCCTCTGTCCTGCAACTTTTAGATGTGCCTCTGCTGCACCACACCTGAAAAGAATAATTAGGTCATTAGCAAGGCTCAGGAGAACCGATCTACACAGGGAGGAGGTAATTAAGCTGCTTCATTCCACTGTTTTTTACCTGTGGCACATCTAAACACTGCAGGACAGCGGCCCTTGAGGACTGGAGTTTGACACCCCTGTATTGTGAATGACAACCTGTGAACAACAGGTTAAACAAGAAAATACTTAATGTTTTTACCTGCTGCAACACAGATGATCAGAAGCCCCAGCACAACAAGTCTTCCAGTCATGGTGTTCGTTGATGAATAACTAAATAAGCAGATATGCGGGTTGTGTACATATACAGGTCTACTATCAGTCACCGCCTCTGATTATATTTAGCTGTTTGTTAAGTGTGAGTGACACAGTGACTCAATGATCCAGGACATAGAACAGCAACAAGCAAATACCTGCAACATTAAGACAAATGTGTCCTTGTTCAAGACACACCATCTGCCTTCCCATGTAAGATTGCCTCGTACTATATGGTGAATGACAGTAAAGGCCAAAAGAACGGACGTTGTGATCATTGATAAGCAGCAGAGGACAGCTGCTGTGGCCATCCCTTTTGATGGCAACACTTTGAACTGGAGATATACCAGTGGGTTAGGGAAGAGCATGTGGTACTTAAAGGGTCTTTGGGGAAGTGGTCACATCCAGATACCTGGAGAAATCCCAGTCCAGAAGTCCAAGAAAACATGCTAACATTCTGCGAAGAACCCTCAAAGTCTCCTACCAAGGACCCTTTAGTAGAGGACCAGAGCTAGAGATACATCTGGAAAGTATTCTCTGCACTTCACTTTTCACACATTTTAAGTTACGACCTTGTTTTAATTGAAGTATCAAATAAGTCTCTTTTTTTTACTTTTTCTTTGGTTTTGTCACATGTTTTGCAGTATCTTTATGACAATGCAAGATATGATGGTGACTATTTTACGAGGGAGCCCGAACAGCTGTCAGTCTCCCACACACACACGCCCATGTAAACACAGTTAAGGAACTTGTAAAGAGAGAAGTATTTGTCCAGTCTGAGTTATTCATCCACCAACATCATGGCTGGGAGACTTGTTGTACTTGGGCTTTTGCTCATCTGTGTCGCAGCAGGTAAAAAACGAAAACAACTAAGTTTTTCGTGGTTAATGTGCTTCGAAAGTGCTCTTAAGACGTTTTGTAGCAAAGAAGAGTTGTAACTATTTTATCTCTGTTCACAACGAGTCCGGCTGTGATAAAGGTTGTTTTATGCTGTTCACTATGTTAAGGTCAAATGCTACAGTACAAACAAAAAAGGTACAAAATGATCTAGATTTTCTGTAATAGGCACTTTACTGGCACTCAGTGCTGAAAGAAGTTAGTCAACTAAAGCCTTAAAGTTACATGATCTCTGACGTCAACACTTTAATTTATGTTGGATGAAACAAAAAAAGCACTTGCTTTCTTTTATTTTTCTAAAGATGCTGCAGACAAGTCTGGACTTATGAGAAAGGTGATATGACTTTCAGGAGTAAACATTTATTTGAACTCCCTGTAACTGAGCAGAATTTAATGTTGTGCTGTTTTAATGTCTGTCAGCCTACTTGCCCTGCTCTGGAGAAGATCATGGCATGCCCCATGAACTTTGCCCCTGTGTGCGGCAGCGATGGAAACACTTATGCCAATGAGTGTCTCCTCTGCGTCCAGAGACAGTGAGTACACACAGCTACTCCACACTTCTGGGTTTCACAGATTCATTTTGGGTCACCCGACCTGATTCTTTGGAGAACAAAATGCTTTAGTCGCCACCTGGTGGTCAACTAAAGTGAAGTTAAAAGTTTTGTATGCTAAAGGATCTCTCCAGTTTTCTTTGCAGGACAGTTTTAGCTATTTTATGTCTATTTTTAAATACAGAAAATTTAAGTGTAAATCAACCATTGAACAGGAATGGGAAGTTTTTCTATAGTGGTTTTGAAAAATAAGGGGTGGGGATCCTTCCTTGACACAGGTTTTCACCTTACACACATTTTTAGTTTAGGAAAAAATAACTCCAAATCTTAGATGAGATCATAAATCACTGCAGTCATGTGTCACA